ATTTGCCACTGACTATTCAAATGCGAGTTTTGAGCAGTGTAGAGTAGCGCTTGTTCTTTGTCATTTCTCCGATCACAAATTCAGACATGGTTTTATGTTTACGCGGCACGATGCAACGCAGTGCGTAAAAAGACAGTATAAGTCATTATAATCCGTAATTATGTCCCCACTGGATGCAACAAATGCCTTGTTTATATTGGGTTTTAAAGTTTTTGTCTCGTCACTCCGGCCGGGACAAGGCATCATCACAGTATGGTAAGGGGCGTAACATTTCCGTCACACGCTTGGAGGGATTCGGCCAATCACAACGCACTGGATAGCTGGCCAATCACAGCACACCTCACTTTTCAGACCAATGAGCTTTGTAAAAATCGACGCGTTTCAGAAAGGCGGGGCATAGAGGAGAAACAATAATGTACAGTATGTGGAAAATAATGTGTTTTTTTAACCTTAAACCGCATAAACACATTTCATTACACCAAATACACAAAATAATGTTCTTTTTAGCAACATCATATGACCCCTTTAAGTCATTGTTGCTATGTCAGGCTCAAACAAAATAACATTTTCATAATGCCACAGAAACATTGTTGTCAGGGGATTTAAATGTCTTAATGTCAAAAAAAAAAAAATCACACACTTCAGCTTTAAATGTTTTTTTATCACAAGAGAGAAGCAATTAATCACTGTCTGTCAAAATGTGAGACTGCTTTAAATCCAGAGGCAAATCAATGCTTCTTGGTGTAATTGAGTATTTGATGGCATGGTGACTCCATGGCAGTGAGGAATTTCCCAAATTGAACATCCATCATCTAGTGGTCTAGGAACACTTCAGAGCATCTTCACCAGGACACGATGGCCAAGTGAGACTGTTCCTTTTCTATATCACTCAATTTTCTCTTGCTGACTGTCTACACTTTTATTTTCATTTTCTAAATCTCTGTACTTTTCACTCTGGTGGACCTGAACTGCACTTCTTCTTTCAAGTTCTTCCCTTCAAGGGTGGAAAAGCACCAGATGGAATTTTTTTTAAATCACTTGAACAGGTTGCGACCGCAATGACAAGGACGGTTTCCAGCTCTGCTACCGGTTGTTTTAGGCCTGTTTATTTTTCAGTTCCAGATAAAACCTCTTTTTGTCAATGGTAAGCAGTTCTTGCACAGACAAGCAAGCAGGCAACTTGAAGAGTGAGGAAAATTTCAGGTGGTTTTTCTCTCCAATCATCCAGTTCAGTGAATTCTAAGAGCTCCATTTTGCTCTTCGTGTTGTGACACTCATATACTTATAATGTCCAAATTCTGTGTGTGCATGCTTTTAAAAATGACTGCGGCATGAAATTGGGTTGGCAACTACTCCTGCAATGTATCTGCAGACATATTCTTACTTCAAATGTGGAATATGTAAACTTGGTACTTATTTAGAGGTTATAATACTTTTGTTCTGCTATGGATTACACAGACAGAACAGATCCAGCACCTTACATTTACTTTCTGTACTGATCCTTGCATCAAACGACCACTGATAGCTTGATGTATTTAGTTCTGTTACCATGCAGGCTGATGGGATTAACAGCACAGGGTGTTGCAAACTCCTGCTTTCAACACGGAGACGCCTGCTTGGCACGTCAAGTTATATCAAGCCTTGTGAGATTAACTTTAAACAAAGTATTATTTTTGCATTGAATATTAAACCCCTTAAAACAGCCAGAATAACATCTCAATGACAGCAGTTACTAAAAAGTATCCCTTTGAACACTTTTGTAGATTTACTGTAGCAAGAATAGCTATAATGACTGAGGTACTGAAATAAAACTCTGGCTGCCATGGTAAATGTTTGTGTTACTTGACACTGTCAAGCCAGTTTTATATATATGCTGTAGGCAATTTACAAATGTGTATGCAATATGAAATTGCAGCTACCAATGATTGTAATTTTTGAATTTATTTTATTTTTAAAGATCACATTCCTCTTTTGCTCAAGTCAGTGACATGACACTTATTTTTAATATATTTTTTCACTACTCAAAAATACATTAAGAAAAAAAACCTTCAATAAACCCCTTCCGTAATAAACATTTTCAATGTCTTAATTGCTTTTTCTGTTTGTTTGTTTTTTGTGGGGCCTAATATCAGAAATGTCTAGGTGGTGTAACTGTTCAACAATAAAAAAAAGTATTAAAAATTATCCTTGTTCATTCAAACAAAGCAGTGCTGTTCTAAAAGTTTTTTTTTAATCATTTGTCTGCCAAATCCAAGTCAGTGTGGCCTAACCAACATGCAAGAGGCCAAAAAAAAAAAAAAACATGATTTTTCGTCTCAAGGTCAGTCAGGGTTTCTCTCTCTCTCTCGCTCTATCATTTTGACCAGGTCATGTAGAGACATGTTTTCAATTTAGTAGTTTTTACTTAATGGTTACACTCCTTGACATTTTTAGAGCCATAAAATAATTTCTATAAAATGGTATATAGATTTATATAGATTTAAGGTATTTTTATCATGTCAGGCATGCTTATTTGTCATTATAAAATTAATGATAAACCCTGCAGATAATTACCAATGATCATAAACCGCGCATTAAACGGATGTGCTTTTCAAAGCCGAAGCCTAAAATCATCCCAAAACTAATAAAACACTTCCTGTTGACTAACGTGAATCAAGCAACAAACACCCCTCAACAGCTTTAATAAAACATCCTTACCTGATGCACTGGCCCGTATGTCCTTCTGAATAGGTAATGAAGGGTTTATATACAAAGAAAACGGAAAGCGGAACTAATATAGTTCAACAGGGCAGGCGTTTGCATCGAATGTCTACGCCAAGTGGACGAAATCGGCAAACTTTAGCGCGTCTTCAAGCTGGAAGAACAAAACACCTGAGGAGCTTCGCCAACAGCAATGGAAGGATTTTATTTATGGCTTCAATTCAGCGTTTAAAACCGCTTATTTCGAAACTGCTGCCAAGCGACATAAAAAACGCCGTTATGACATCAAGTAAAAGAAATGAGTTTCAAACATCCACTGCAAACTTTGTGCCTCTCCCACCGCGATGCACTGCAGGCGTTTCATACACATCGACTGGAGAAGCGGTTTCTGGTTACCTGACTAGTCTCTTAGTTCCTGTTTGTGAGGCCAACCCACTCCTGACAAAAGGTTTCTTTCTTCTTCTTTTTTTTTCTTAATAAAAACTGCCAGGTTTATATTTGTTTTTTGGACTTGTTCAAAATTAACTGCTCACGTGGTGTGCAGTTAACTGCTGACCCATTTTATCAGCTGAAGAGAGTGGAGAGGCTTCTGATGTCTACTGTAACATATTATGTTATTTTAAATCAACCTGTTATATATGGAAGACAACTGTCATCCGAAAGCTGTCATGGTCTGCAATGTCTCTAGACAAGGAAAAGCAGCCTTTTCTGAGGTCTTTAAGTCTGGAACCATAGTGGAATGAATGAATGAATACATTTATTTATTTATGTATGTATTTGTTTGTTTGTTTATAATTTATTGAGTAATTATTTTATTATTTATTGCTATTTAAAATGATGGTTTTCTATTTTAATATACTTTAAAATATAATTTATTCCTGTGATGCAAAGCTTACTTTTCATAAGCTATTTCTCTATAAGTCTTCAGTCTGACATGATCTTTCAGAAATCATTCTAATATGCTGATTTATTATCAATGTTGAAAACAGTTGTGCTGCTTTTTTTTTTTTTCTGAACCTATGATACTTTTTTTCAGAATTCTTTAATGAATAAAAAGTAAAAGAATAATAGCATTTTTTTAAAATAGAAATCTTTTGTAACAATATGCACTACCGTTCAAAAGTTTAGGGTTAGTAATTATTTTTCTTTCTCTTTTTGAAAGAAATTAATACTTTTATTCAGTGATGTGTTAAATTGATAAAAAGTGATTAATAAAGACTTATGTTGTTAGAAAATATTACTATTTTGAATAAATGCTGTTCTTTTTAACTTTTTATTCATCAAAGAATCCTGAAAAAAATATCACAGGTTCCAAAAAAATATTATCAGCACAACTGTTTCCGGCATTGATAATAAATCAGCATATTAAAATTAAAGCACCTTAATGATGGATTTTTTTTTTTTTTTTAAACAAACGTGCAGCTTTTCACTTCATAAGACATTATTTGATGGACTGGAGTTGTGTGGATTACTTGTGGATTATTGTGATGTTTTTATCAGCTGTTTGGGCACTCATTCTGACGGCACCCATTCACTGCAGAGGATCCATTGGTGAGCAAGTGATAAACTTATCCATATCTGTTCTGATGAAGAAACAATCTCATCTACATCTTGAATGGCCGGATGGTGAGTCAGCAAATTTTCATTTTTTGGGTGAACATTTCCTTTAAAAAGCCCAGATTTTCAATGTGCTTTCAGAGTTTTAGACTGTACTGTACTGTACGTTTAATATTCTTGTCTTGTCTGTTCCAATGTCTTTTTTATTCTTTTTTGCTCCGTTTTTAAAAATGTATAAATTATCCATGGCTGTCCAAAATTCCACAGCCATTTCCTTAAGATGGACTTGGCCACTGTCCACATGACATAAATCACGGTGTGCAAGTTCAGGGCGACCTACTTTGAATCGCTGCTGCAATGCTCTGGAGGATCCCTATTGAGAGTCCTAGATAGGGTGAAACCTGTGATGTATGTGTAAGAATTGTGCCACTTCGGCATGGCAAGAGTTTCAGCCTCCTGGCATCGATTCAATTCCCCTTCTGTTTTCAGTGTTTATCATCTGATAAAGATTGAATGGAAGGAGGGAAATGACAGCACAAAAAAGTTAAAGTTGTATGAGAAAAAAAGTGGCTACTTTCAAATCTACAGGCTGGAAACAGACCTACGAAGAAAAAATGGTTGTACAACATGAAGCACTTTTACACTATAGAATACATATTTTTTAAATGTTTTATCAACAGTGGACTGTTTAATTGTTAAAATCCAAGAATTAGTTTTGTGTTTTTAAACACATTTCCTCTGAATAGGCTTTTCCAAAACTTTGTGAGCTAATTTCTGCCAACTTTATTTTTCTTTCAAACTCCTTACTTGTACAAAGACAGGTACCTACTGTAACTGTTTTCTGCTGTTTTTATTAGCATTTTCTTTTCTTTTTTTCTTGTTGCTACCTAATTGACCTGTCCATTAGTGCAGTAAATTCCAGGGACATGTGCAAAGACGAGTTCAGATGCGCAAATGTGCTTGAGGCTAGAAGTTGTGGGCTGCATAAACACAGAGCAAGAGATAATAATAATAATTGATAGCGAATTTTACGTCATGTGTATCATGTGCAAGATGTAGCTGCGAATGAACAGCTGAAGCATACTTGTGCCTTAAGGCAGCATCCTAACCATCACGGAACCTCATAAATGGCTGATTTGGAACACTCTACATAGGCAGCAACTCAACACACCACAAAAAGAGTGCTCTACATGGGCTCAATTTTAATTTTAAAAAATTGCTGTTAGCGTGTCGCTAAACTAATAGTGTCATTCTATAACACACACAAAAAAAAAACACTCAAATTATAAGATAATCCAATTTTATTTACATTTGACCAATTTATGAATTCTTTTTAGTATTGAATGAAATATTAACAACACTGTATTTATTTATTGGGTACACATGGGCCAAAAGGAGGTATCATTAAGAAATAGTTCACCTTATAGTCAATAGTCATCCTTACGCTCATGTTGCTCCAAACCTTACTTACTTACAAACCTTACTAGCTGCGGCACACAGATACGCTGTTTACGTCATTTACGCTTTGATTTGAACGAAAACAACGTATCCGCGTGGCGCAGCTGACACAAAACAGCATACGCTGTTTGCGTTCAGTGGATACTCTCCAAAATGGCGCTAGGAAGGAGACGAATTGTTGAATAAAGTCGTTATTTTTTTCTTTTGCGCACAAAAAGTATTCTCGTAGCTTTGTAAAATCACAGTTGAACCCATGCGGGTCAGCTGCGCCACACGGATACGTTGTTTTCGTTCAAATCAAAGCGGAAATTACATAAACAGCGTATCTGCATGCCACAGCTGACACAAAACAGCATACACTCTTTGTGTTCAGTGGATACTCTCCAAAATGGCGCTAGGGTGATGCGGAGGAGACGAATTGTTGAATAAAGTTGTTGTTTTTTTTCTTTTGCGCACAAAAAGTATTCTCGTAGCTTTGTAAAATCACGGTTGAACCCCTGATGTCACATGGATTATTTTACCGATCTCCTTGCTACGTTTCTGGACCTTGATCGTGTAAGGACCCTTGCTGTCTATGGGAGGGTCAGAGAGCTCTCAGATTCTATCAAATATATCTTAATTTGTGTTCCGAAGATGACCAGAGGTCTTACGGGATTGGAACGACATGAGGTTGAGTAATTAATGACAGAATTTTCCTTTTTGGGTGAACTATCCCTTTAAGTTCCTTGCTCAAGCGCGTCAGTGATGATAAGGCTTCTTGCAGTAACCCTCTAGCTCATTGGTCATGTCTGTCTGTGGTTGTGTTCTGAATAGCTCAAAGATTACATATTAAAATACCTTCTATCTGAGATAAATATACAGAGAGACTTTTATAAACAAGTCATTTGTAGATGCTGTTTCTTATCAGCTCGATACAGCGACATTGGCTCAATCTTGAGTTTGGGGCGGAACTTTCTGTTTGTCCAACCAATGGCTGCTAGGGAGAGAGTTCAGGAAACCTGTTTGAAAACAGTGATTTCTAATTTCCTTCGGTGCCACAAATGGCTCAGAAATTACACACTTTTTTCAGTGTTTGTAATGTGATGACCAAATGTTTTGTCTTTGTACAGTTTAAGTTAGTCAGTAAGCCATCTTGTTGTTCGGCTGAGGTTTTACATTGATAGTTCAGATTTAAATGAATTTTCTTAACACATTCTATTCATGCATTTTTAAAGCATTGATTTGCTTTGATTAGCTTGGCTGCTGCTGACCCGAAACATTGCAATTTTTGCATAGATCGTCCAAGGGATCCGTCGATGTTAAAGAGTGCAAGGGAACGTCTCTCTCGTGAGGCATGGTGCCCGAGTTTCCATGGGAACTGCAAATCTACCTCCCGCCCTACATGTAGACCTTGTGATATTTTTCAACAATGTCATGCAGCAGAACTAGCTCACTAAAAGCAGTGGGTTGATCATAGTCCCCTCCCTCTCTCTGTCTTTTATTATTCACATGCATTTATTCACAGCTTTTCTGTTTTATCTTTTTATTATCCAGCTACTTAATACACCCACAGCACATGCAAACATATTAAATATCATACATAAATTTGTATTTAGGTCAAAGATCCTATACTTTTATAAGTTCTTCAGACTGTGACGGTCTAAAAATCAGTAAATAATCTATTTATCTGATGCTTTATAATGCATAAAGTCACAAAGATTTGGTTGATTAATATGTTAATACTTGTGATACTGATATTTTTTAACTCTATCATAATTAGCAACTTTAAAATTCTGTACTTTAATGAGATATTTGTACCTGATCTGACCATTAAAAATATGTTTGTAGTGTAAACCAGTTAATTTAGATCTTATCACCTGAAGCACTGTTATTTTCATTCATGATTGTTTTTTATTTTTATTTTTTGTGAAAATTACAGCCATAAAATGTTTCCTCTTCTTTTCAGTTTGTCCCAGCATCCTTTGTTTGCTTTTTCCTCTTACTGTTTTTTGCTCCATTTCATCTATAATTCTCTCTCAGACCTTTATTCTATAATAGACTCTTAATGAATTAGCTTGATCTTTGCTCTTGAACGCTGGGATATCCGTCCAGCTTATTCACATTACATCTCTTAATGTGGAGAGGGGTGGCACTGATGCAACTGGCAATGTGTGTGTGTCGAGAGAGAAAAACAGAGTGAGAGGAGGAGAGAAAAGAGAGAGAGAAGTGTGGCAGTATGCCTCTGGTGAAGAGACAGCCGTTTACATTCAGAGAGCTGTGTTAAGCAGGTGCTGCTGTTTCATTCACACACTTCCAAAAGCACTTGTCTTCACGTCCAGCTGGAATGGCTGTAATATAGAACCTTTACTTCCATCACTGCTACAACCATTAGAGGTAAGCACTCTCTCACTCTCGCTGATGTGTTTGTAATGGTGAATGTGGGCTGTGGGCAGGCATTTGGGTGGCAAAATAAGCCGGCTGTAATGGATTCAATGCTTTTGAATGCGAAGGCAACAGAGGCAGTACTAGATCAAGGCTGTTGCAGGGAGAAACTGTTCAGGGTCTGACCCACATCAGGGAGTCGTAGTGCAGTGGCACTGTGTGTCACACAGAAAGACTTTGTCTTTTTCTCTAAACAAAAGTGACAGTGATGTAAATGTAAACTTTTGCAACTGGAGTGCATGGTGTGCTTTTTTGTATTAGTTTGTTTGGTAGTGTAAGCGTGCATGCTTAATAATAAAGGTCCTTTATTGGCATCTATGGTTTCATGAAGAACCTTTAACATCCATGTAAACTTTTCATTGAAGGTTCTTTATAGTGGAAAGGGTTCTTTAGATTATTAAAATGTTCTTCACACTAAAAGAAAGAAAAAAAATGGTTCTTGAATGGCATTGCTGCCAAAACCCCCTTTTGGAACCTTTATTTTTTAAAAGTGTGCTAGAGATTAAGTACTCAGGTAAATATATGTTTACAGCTACAATTGTGTTTTAGGGCAGGTATTACTTTGGCAATTGTATGTATACTTGCACTGTTTTGTTAGGACCTGCAGTATGCAATGATGAATACTGCCTGTTAGTACTGCATAAGCTCACTGTGTGTGTGTGTGTGTGTGTAAACTTGAAGCCCTAATGTAATCATAATCAGTATGCTTCATCTACTAAATTTGAGTGTCAGCCTCAGACGACACACCCACGTCCCGCCCACAGTCTGTTCGCTGACCGTCTGATCCATATTGCAGTTAAAACTGACAAGCACAATCCAAAAACAAGTGTCCTTCAATGTAGCCTATCAGGTATAAAGAATCAAACTAAACTTTCAAAATTTTAATTATTTATAAACTTAAAGAACTCACACTTTATGAATTGTTACCATGTAGCTCAAACAACAGAGCATGTTGCCAGCAATGCCAAGGTCATGGGTTCAAATCCCAGGGAAAGCATGGACTGATAAAATGTGTACCTTAAATGCAATGCAAGTCGCTTTGGATTAAAGTGTTAACCAAATGCATAAATGATTTTGTGCACCACTAGAAAATATACAGTGCATGTTGGGCAGGAGGTAAAACTGCAGCTCTGTGTCAATAGATGTATAAAGGGAGCAGGATCTCATTTGGTTTCAAATTCATGATTTCATTAACTTTGTTAGCTTGACCTCAAAGCGTATCTTCTGTGGCAGCTTGAACTCAAGCATGCACTACTGGTGATAAAGTTAAACGCCTGCTACAGTGATGACTGTTGTGAGAAAAATGTAGTACAATTTTAAGTAAAATGTTATTAAAAGAAGTCTTTTATACTCACCAAGTCTGCATTTATTTCATAAAATTACAGTAAAAAGCAAAATATCTATATTAAAATAATACAATATCTGTTTTCCATTTGTATACTGTATATTTGAAATTGTAATTCATTCCTGTGATGTCAAAGCTGAATTTTCAGCAGCCATTATTCCAGTCTTCAGTATTAAATAACCCTGAATATGATGATTTGGTGCTCAATAAACATTTCTTCTTATTATCAATGTATAATGAAGAATTGTAACTTTTATCATTCGAAGGCCATGATCTGCGACGTCAGTTCCATTTTGTTAAACATTTTATAAAACTGTGTGCCACATTTTGGTCTGTTTAAAAATTACACTATTAAATTAAACTATTTTAATATAATTGCTTTTAAACCTGCCCCTAGATGGTACATGAAAACAACAAATTGTAATAGGTAGCTTTCCCAGTGGTCAGGTGGCCTTTTCCTGTCTATGTAGGTGGTTCTTGGCCAGAATAAGCTACAATCAATGTGGACCAGACTTAATCCTGCAAGTCAAAAGCCATACCCAAGATCATGTGGATTAAGCAATTAAATCAGAGTGTGCGGATGTGTCTTGGCTGTCATGCAGAGGATAAAGCAGACAGTCAGCAGCTGGTACTGAAGATTTCTGCACTGCGAGCGACACACAGAGACCCACATGCCCTCTTTTCTGTGTGTACACAGAGAGCATGAAACATCTGAGCACTCTCATATTCATTCTCTAGCTTCAGATCATACTGGTTGTACATGGGCCATTTTTCCTGTCTTTGAGTCCGCTGCTGTTGTTTGAAATGCAACAGAGCTGAAAGATGGCAGCAAATCCCTTGCAAATGATCTGATAAGCATGTATTTCTGGTGTAGACAGTTACGGCATTTGGTTAACAAATATTGCACTATTTTCACACAGTAGGAGGGACAATAGGCTGTTTTACACTTGGAATTATTCACTTAGGGTTCACTTTCTTATCCCTGTGTTAAATAATCTTGTTCCTTGTTTCACACTGTGAAGCCAGGTTTTGAATTTTTTGAAGCTGATTGTCAAAATAGCTTGCTAGTTAATAGTTATGAAGCATGGAGACAATTACATATAGAATGAATTTCATGCTGGTGACCAGACATAAATCCTATGAATCCTAAATCCATTTCCACCACTGAATAAAAAATAAAACAAGGTAATTATGACTTTTTTATCTAACAATTCTGCCTTTTTATATAGTTTAGACATCAACTTGCAATTGCGAGAAAAAAAGTCAGGATTGCGGGATGTAAACTCGCAACTGTGAGAAATAAAGTACGAATTGTGAGATATAAACTTGCAAATTCTGACTTTTTTCCTCAGAATTGTGTGATATAAACTTGCAGTTACAAATGATAAAGTCAGAATTGCAGGATATAAACTTGCAATTGCGAGAAAGTCAGAATTGTGAGACTGTTTTCTTTGTGTTTTTCAGAATTTAGTTTTCTTGTAATTCTGACTTGTTCTCTCAGAATTGTGAGATATAAACTCGCAATTGCGAGTAATAAAGTCCAATTCAGAAGTAAAAAAATATATAATCTTATAATTGCGAGTTTATATCTTGCAGTTCTGACTTTTTTTTCCCAGAATTACGACTTTATTTCTCAGAATTGCGAATGGCAGAAACGGCCTTCCATTTAAATCCGCTCTGGTTGTCTTTTAAATCATATTACCAAAAACAAAAAGACAAAAATAAAACATAGAAGGAAAAAACTTTTGTCATCCCTGTTTGATATTTTTATCTGCTTTCCTCAGATGCTGAACATCTAAATAGTGTGTGAAAGTTTCTGAGGCTGTACAAAGTGCATGAATATTTAATGAGGCAATTTATGATTGGTTGTCTGTTGCTAAACAACTTGCCGTTACAAGCACTGTGTTTTTTCACATTGTATATTTGGGTTAGAACTGCAAAATGCATGCTAACCTTTTTCTGGGCTTTGCTTGGTTTTTTTAAAAATAGAATCATGAAATGTTTTTTTATCCAACATGTTATCTCAATCAAAGTTTAAAAAGATGATGCTTTAGGATTTACTGTAGCATATTGTAAAAAGCTATTTTTAGTGACAGAATGTTTCTTTTATTGTTTATTTGATTCAGATGTATTGGTGCAAATGGCTTAAAAGTGTACAATATAAACAATTTCAATCGTTTTGCTAACTTCCGTATCCAAAATGCTGTCTTGCTAGCCAACCTGATGTCAGCAAACCCAAGGTTTTTGTTTTTTTTTGCTGATTAGCATGGTTCAGTTAGCCTCTACTGGTAGATACAGCTTAACTACTCCCACCATTATAGGAACAAATGGCATCTTCCACCATTGGCAGCCATTCAAAAGTAACCGTGCATTCTGACAAGTAAATCATGTTTTATCAATGCCCTATTTTTTGAAGTGCTCTTAAAAGCGTGAAATGGGCTTATATTTATCTGCTTCCATTCACGTCACAGTTTAGGACAGTCACTAGTGTGGGATTTGGGACGTGTGCATTCTTGTGCTTCCATCAACCAATCAGTGTCAGCGAATTAGATATTCTTCAAAACTAGTAATTCTAGTGGCCAGAGTCTAAAAAAGGTTAATGTTTTAAAATTGTTGATCAAGGTCAGGTTTTAAAGGGGTCATATGATGTTGCTAAAAAGAACATTATTTTGTGTATTTGGTGTAATGAAATGTTTATGCGGTTTAAGGTTAAAAAAACACATTATTTTCCACATACTGTACATTATTGTTTCTCCTCTATGCTCCGCCTTTCTGAAACGCGTCGATTATTACAAAGCTCATCGGTCTGAAAAGCAAGGTGTGCTGTGATTGGCCAGCTATCCAGTGCGTTATGATTGGCCGAATATCTCAAGCGTGTGACAGAAATGTTACGCCCCTTACCATATTGTGATGATGCCCTGTCAGGCCGGAGCGATGATTCAAAAACATGAAAACCCATTATAACCGAGCCATTCGTTGCATCCAGTGGGGACATAGTTATGGATTATAATGATTTATACTGTCTTTTTACGCGTTGCGTTGCATCGCGCCGCGTAAACATAAAACCATGTCTGCATTTGTGATCGGAGAAATGACAAAAGCTAGTTTTCAAGATACAATGTGAGCTAAAGACTCTTGCCTTGCTGTCCTTCCTGTCCCTTGTGCTCTCCTTGCTTCTAATACTCCTTAGCAGTGACCTGAATTTGTCTTTCCTTCTCTCAGTTGCTAAGAGTGTATGTTTTAAAGAGCTCAGAGGATAGACGTATCAGGGTGCCTTAGACTTCCCTTTGAAGATGGATTTCTTAAGAACGTACACCTGTGCTCATTTTTCCTGTGCTGTGTGTTTGCTGTAAATGCAGCGCCCCACTTTTCAGTGTAGTGCGAGAGTTTCTGATGCATGTCAGTGGTCTGTCAGTGTATTGTTAATTGTAAGAGCAGCACTCAAAGGCACTCATTTAAAAACTGAGGTTTTGATGGTTCACTTTCAAGAGTTTCAACAGTATAAAGTCATTACACCTACTCAACCAAATCAAGCTTTTAGGAATAAAGGATTATCCAGATGCAGCTGGTCCTCAGGACAAAACTATAATGCATTAGAGCCGCTGTCACTTCAGCAGCTTCTCAGTGCAAGGCTTCAAACAGAATTTTAGACATGAGAACATGGCAGAAGTGTTTGAAATTGTTGTTTGATTTAGCCCAGTTACGATTAGCCCTTAGCCCATAGTTTTACCTGTTAAAGTAATGTAATGTAAATGCTATGGTAAAAACCTGTTAATGGTATTTCCCTTAACTATATAGCCTACAGTATGGTGAAAAACTGTTTACTGTACAATGTAATTTTACAGGAAATGTACAGTTTTTGGAAGTGAAAAAGAGCAATTATTTTAGTGTCATGACGCGCACCATCTATATATTTGTATTTACTACTTGCAAGTATTTGCTACTTGTGATGAACTTTAAAGATGGTTATTAATATTATATATATTAACATTATATATATTATGTCGATTAACATTATTGCTATGTATTTTTGGTATATTTAGTATATTAACATTATTTTGGTTAAGGAAATATAAGGTTTAGTACCATAAATATAAGTTTAATCGGAACATAAATTGTTGCTACCATATTTTTTTGCCATAAAGTTCTTGTTTTTGAATTCTGAATATCCTTAAAGGGATAGTTCACCCAAAAAATCTGTCATCCTTTACTCACCCTCATGTCATTCCAAATCTGTGAGACTTTCGTTCATCTTCGGAACACAAATGAAGATATTTTTAACTAAATCTGAGAGATTTATGTCCCTCCATTGACACTCTGCGCAACTACCACTTTGATGCTTCAAAAAGTTAATACGTTTTGTTTTTTCAAAAAAATTTATCTTAAACATCTTATTCTAATTTTGAAAAATTAAACTTTCTCTCGCCATGAGTCATTAAAAAAGGCGTTGAAAAAAGAAGAAAAAAGTTCATAAAGAGATCGTTAAACTAAACCATATGAATTGAGCGGTTTAGTCTAAATTTTCTGAAGAGACTTGCTCGCTTTATATGATGAACAGATTTAATTTAGGCTTTTATTCACATATAAACAGTAATCAATGCACACATCAGTTAGGGGGTTGAAATAACATGAGGGTGAGTAAATGATGACAGAATTTTCATTTTTGGGTGAACTGTCCCTTTAAAACCTTTGTTAAAAGCTCATAGTGTCATTAGTCTGTGATAGTTTTGTGTGAAGAACAGGACAAATGTTTTATTCACTGTTATCTTCCCCTGCCATGCCTCAGTTGGGTTGTACCAGATTTGACAACAATGACTTTAATGTTTAAATATTCATTTAGCAGATTCTTTTATCCAAAGCGACATAAGCATTACAAATACCACAATACAGAGTTCCAAGGTTGTTTAGAGAAGTGCAGACTAGAACATAGATGCAAGAAATGAGAAATAGTAAAAGAATTGTTAAAGAGAATAGTGAAAGAGTTATTAATGAGAACACATTGTCAGTCCAGCACCAAACCAGCATAAACCAGCTTTGTCCAACACAGAAATTTGAGAATCTCTTAGCTGACCAAAAAAGAATCTCAAAAGGTGTGTTCAGGGAACGTTTTGACAAGCAAAAGATCCCTGGTAACAATGAGTTATTAGCTGGAAGCTTTCTTTTTTTTGTACAAAGTGTAGACTGTGTTTATAAAATCGTTAAAAAAAGGAGCACAAATACCTTATTTTAACTTGGTAGAGTTGCAGACCTAAGTTATTGCATCATAATTGGTGCATAAAATCACTTTTTTCAACTCAAACCTCAGCATTTTTAGACGATGAATTTTAATGGCTCTGTGTAGATGTTGACAGCTACAAGATGTTTGTGGTGTTGTGTTTGCTGCTGGGCCTGAGGAACACATCACTAAAGACAGAAATGAAACCTCATGTTTTATTCATCTGTCTTTATTCATCTCTCTCCCCCTCATTATGTAACAATAGTGGAGAAAACATAAAAGTGATCTTGATCATTACAGAGTTTTAAGAGCGCTTAGATTCATATTGTTGGTCTCTTTACTAATGCATTCTTTGTTGGGGGTGACATGCATGTGAGTGTGTGCTTGTGACCTATACATCAAACGAGAGAATTCTGAAGTGCTAAACTAAGATTTCTAATCTCAAATTTCAGCCCCTCATCCTAAAACTCATCTTCTGTTCAGCACAGAGGGAATTTGGTTTTCTTTTTCTGCGAGTCCCTGCTGCAAATGAAACAGGCAGTCGCTGTGCTGATAATGTTCTTGATGCTGCACTGCTAGACAGGATTCCAGTTTGAAGACACAGAGCTGGTGATGGAAGAATGATTGTGAATGCATAATAGTTTTATGGATAATCTCATGCCATGGTGACATTGCTTATGGAATAGCTGCAATAATATGTAAATGTATACATATCTTTATTTTTTAATGTCTTGTCTTTATTTTAATTTCACATATTTCTAAGAGGATAAAATATTTATGTGTAAACCATTTGAAACTTGTTTGCATCTGTCAGAATTTCAGCTAAAGTTTAAAAAGTGCATGCCACTCGTGAGCTGACAGTGCACTTTTTCTTTACACGTGATGGAAGAATTATTGTGAATGCATAATAGTTTTATGGATAATCTGATGCCATGGTGACATTGCTTATGGAATAGCTGCAATAATATGTAAATGTATACATATCTTTATTTTTTAATGTCTTGTCTTTATTTTAATTTCACATATTTCTAAGAGGATAAAATATTTATGTGTAAACCATTTGAAACTTGTTTGCATCTGTTAGAATTTCAGCTTAAGTTTAAAAAGTGCGTGCCACCTGTGAGCTGACAGCACACATTTTTGTTTTTTTACACTTTTTGTTGTAGATTTTACCAGTTTTGCAGTGTTTGAAAACAGGCAGTTCAAAACTTTGTCATGGTAGGACCTAGGCCTATAATTAATCTTGAGACCCATGAAAAGTTAAAATGAAAAATGAGGTGGGAAAACACTTTTGTTCACTGTAAGTTAACAATTTTTGTTGTTCTTTCTTGTCATATTATTACATTGAGTAGTCATATCATGATCATTGCACTGTAAACCATTTGAAACTTGTTTGCATCTGTTAGAATTTCAGCTTAAATTTAAAAAGTGCGTGCCACCTGTGAGCTGACAGCACACATTTTAGTTTTTTTACACTTTTTGTTGTAGATTTTACCAGTTTTGCAGTGTTTGAAAACAGGAAGTTCAAAACTTTGTCATGGTAGGACCTAGGCCTATAATTAATCTTGAGACCCAAGAAAAGTTCAAATGAAAAATGAGGTGGGAAAACACTTTTGTTCACTGTAAGTTAACAATTTTAGTTGTTCTTTCTTGTCATATTATTACATTGAGTAGTCATATCATGATCATTGCATGACCAATATAAAAGTCAGGATAACCATGAACAAAGAAGTGACATTGAGGTACAGAGATAAAGAGAGAATACATTTTTGGTTTCTTGGTGGGATTTCAGTAAATCTTTTAGAACGATTCATTAATAACCAATTCATTGGAGTCATTTGTTTTTTAATTGGACTACACATATCGTGCTGTTTTTTTTTCTTTCTTTTTGCATGCAGCATGTGCGTGCAGCTGTCTTTATAATCAAGCTCTTGCAAACTATTGTAACACAAACTTTCAAAGAAAGTGTTTTTACAGTTTGTAAAGACTGAAAGAGTTGTCAGAGTGCAAACGTGGAATGTGATTGTGTCATGTTAGTATTTATTCTTCAATATTCATAAAAGTTGTGCTGATTTGTGAAGATTATGAAAAAAAATATGCAAGAATCATAAACTTTTGTTGGTCACAGAGCTTATTTTCTGCAATAATCCAAATGCCAGTGGAAAAATCCTTTTGGGATTTTATCAAGGGAACCAGGGTGATGTGAACCTACAGGTTGGCCTACAAAAATATGTCATCACTGCAACGCTCTAGATGATAATATACATGCATTAAATCTAAAATTTTGTCCACATGAACAATCCAACTGAATTAGCGAGATAATCTCATTGAAATTATTGTTTGATGCCTGTGTTTGTTCTAGGTCTCTGACTGATATACTAAAGACAGAAGAGATGGACAGAAGGAGGATTGTGGGGAGGGGAGGAGTTAAGAGAAGCAGATATATAGTGCCATGCTTCCTGTTTGTAGAGGTGAGTTGTACACTGAATTAAAGGTTGTTCACTTCTCAGTCCACCCTTCCATAGGCTTCCATATTCACCTTTTTTTTTTGTCATGAACATTATGCTCTGCCTTCTAGTGGAACTGAAAGGAATTTAAGATTTTAAAGTCTTCAAAGGGATAATACATCCTCTTGGGTCATCTTGTTCAGCGTTTCTTTTGAGATTTTATCTTGTCTTTGTAGCTTATGAAATACCATAGTTATAGTAACTCACCAAGTTGGCTGTGTCTGTGTAAAGGCATGAGAATTCACCATGGGAATACTTAAAGAAAGATTATTTAATGAATAGTTCACCAAAAAATTCAAATTCTACAGTAAGTACGTAACTCCATGAAGGTTTGTCAAAATTATCGCTTTATATTCCATGTAAACAATTAACAGAATACAGGTTTGGAATGACATCTGGATGTGCAGATGAGTAAATAATGACAGAATTTCTTTAGTTTGTGGTGCAGCTTTGAATGATAATACTGAATTCAGAAAACGCTTTTTTTTTATAACACTCCACCTGGGACGTGCACTGCCATTTTCAATAATCTGTGGAGCTGAAATACATTAAACTGTACCTGAAACTCTGCTCCCCTGACTGGCAACTCTAATAAATACTTTTAGAACCGAACACATTAGAGTCACACAGCATACCTGACTGCGACGCATGAGTCACTTAAGATTAGCATGAACAGTACTTTCATCCTTTGAACTCAGTCACAGTATACTGTCAGGCTGGCATAAGTCCATGACCTCTTTACTCATCTGTGATGTTCTCTTCCCACATCCCTTTATTCCAGAGTCCTCGTTGGCTCCTAGGTCTCAGAGGCAAAAACCCACAAAAGCGCTCTTAATTAATCCTGCTAATGAACAGTGTTAGCGTACACAGCGCCTGATTGCTTCAGTCGCTTTAGACCCAGTGCGGAGGCAAAGATTCCAGCCAAAACCGTTTGCATCAGCCTTACATAGGAATTTGATGGGACTTCAAAATTCACAGGCTTTCCAAAGTAACCAAATGTACATATTAACATTGCCAAAATACACATTTGGGTCCAAATTTTGTGTCCAATGGTTCTCAACTGGTTTTGCTTCATTAGATATCAAGCAATGACCCAACAAAGAACCAAAGTTGTTCGTTTATTAAATAAAAAAAAGTCATTAAATTGAAACTTTGAAATTTGTGACACAACTCTATTACTTTCTTTCAAAAAAGAAGACATTTTAGAGCTTTTTACACTTGAAATAGTTAATCCTGCGTCATTTATTTCATTGCATTTTCCATGCAATGAAAGTTAGTGGGGTCCACTGTTATTTTGGACATTCAAAATATCTCCTTTTATGTTCTACAGAAGAAAGAATGTCATACTAGTTTGGAACATCATACTCAGAATGACAGAATTTTCTTTTTTTCCATGGACTATCTTTTAACCCAACAATATGCAAAATTATTAACATGATGTATACTGAATGAGTAAATTGACATTTGTTGGATTTCAGTCGTTTCTGACTCTAAACCTGAACCCAGTTTATCCTCGCTGCAAGTGAACATGAAATTAGTATTTATTTTAATCTTGCGTACTATAGTTTTGTTCAAGGTTTTCAGGACACACCTGTGATCCATTTTGGGGTAATAACACACCTTTTCAGAACCACTGTCCTAAAGATGGATCTGAGGAATACATTTAATGGGTTCAAGAAAACAGCAGGAATGGGCTTTAAAGAATATTTGAAATATAGTAAATTATCATAATCTCAACACCTGCCATTTCGCAGATGCTGTTCATCCAACTTTTGATTTAGGAACGCTTAATGCATGGTGATATAGTTTGAAATTGGAGCTCTTGTAGCCTCAGCATCAGCCAGCACATCCCCAGACCACCCACAGTCCATGCACAGACCATCTGCAAACCTCACACTAAATTACATCAAAAAAATACATTTGAAATGTTCTAATCTGATTGGCTGGCTGCTCTACAGTTTCTGCAGAGGAACGAGGTTTTGTTTACAGGTGACCAGACTTCTACAGTGAGTATATACTTCTGAGAAAGCCATCTATTCTCATGCCATCTAATCGTTTTTTAAACCACCCAGCTAACAGGGAACATTCTCAGAACATTGGCTAACGCTGTGGCAATATTCTCTCAAAATTATGAACAAACATTCTTCCAGTACCATTAATAGAATATTCATTAAAGTTATCTGGTCTTTAATAATGTTCTCAAGATGTTAGCGCAAAAATGTTGTTTATACATCATTCATGGAACGTTTTTCTTTTAAAATGTATTATATGGGTGTTTCTTAAATATTATTACTTGTTTTAGAATATTCCAGGAACATTTAAAATTATGTTCCCATAATGTTTGAAAAATGGTGCAATGGAATGTTCCCTTAACATTCATGTATCCAAGAAAAACATTTTGTATGTTCAGAAAACATTCAGAAATAGCATTTCCATAATGGAAACATTAGCAAAACATTCTTAGAACATATTTTGTTAGCTGGGCAGTTTATTAGCATTTTTTAAAAGTTTTGTTATCATATATTTTTATATATTTCAGATTTACTTAGCAACCTCTGAAAAAAGGACAAAAGCTGTTTTAATAGCATACTAACTTTGCTTCTATTATTTCTGCAGTATGTAGTAACCATGCTGAGCACAGTTATTTAATTACTGCTGTAATCTCTATTTTGACTCATTATTTGGTCAGAAGTTAAAACAAAAGTTAAAACATTGTTACAGATTTTTTTTTTTAATGCGTTTAAGTTGATAACCAGACACCTCTCATTTAGAACATGAGGAGGTCATTTGATAATAATGTATAATAATGTTTCATGGAATGCCTGCTTTGTCAAAGTGTATACTGCACAGTAAGTAGTAAGCTAGTATTCCAAGCACAGCCAGAGGTTGGTGGTAACCAGCCCTGTACAAACTCCTCAGTGTCTCCAGCACGCTTTCATAACAAAATAGCGCTCTCTGCTGGAATCCAGCTCTCTCTTGTGGTGCAAAATCCTTTGTTCTACATTTGCATCTCATTATCAGTTGCATTTGGTAAAATTGTCTCAGGCATTTTTCTTTTCCCTTTCCTTGATGCAGTTCCAGCTCGCTTTCATTTCGTGCTTCGTCTCATCACTGTGGGATATATGTTATCTGCCCATTAAAAGCTCAAGGATCTCTCAGCACAGACCAGCTATATCAATGAACACTTAGTGTGGCTTAAACTGCTTTCTACCATGTCTCCAAAATAAGAACACTGAAACATGGCAGATTTTGAACAGATTGGTTTGTTCAAGAGTTCATTTACTTTCCAACTTTCTATTTAGTTACTGACTTCACTATTGACCCATGGCAATTAACATACCCGTTTAACTGGATTCCATATGTATAAAATGCTTATCATATTGACCTTAATCAAAGTGGTAACGCTTTATAATGTATTCTAATGCAGGGTCTGTGACGTTACTGCAGGGTTGGTTGTTTGATCTCAGACTATATTTGTGAAGAAAAAAAGGCTAAATAATGATGAATCCAAAATAAATAATGACTTGTATATACAGTATGACTTGTATGCAAAGCTTTTATATGTATGTAATGAACCCCTTCATATGTAATGAAAGGGTCCCTGCTTTATCTCTCTTGTCTGTCAAGTTTTTTTATTTATTTATTTATTTATTTATTGACCTGGAGAAGGGAAGAGAATATTTTCAATTTATTATATATATTTTTTTATTTTATTGTTATCTTTTTTTGTTTTCATTTTATTACATTTTATTACTTTGTTTTTACTTGAAAAAAAAATATTTTTTTTTTAGTTTTTTAAATAAAAACTATATACTGTATGTATACAGTATTTTTTTTTTTTATTAGGTTAAGTTTATTTCAAGTAGTTTTAGTTTTAGCTAACGATAATAGCCCTGGTTGTAACATACAGTACATTGTTATTCTAAAAAAAAAGTGTAGAAAGAATTTTCATTTAGAAATTTCTTGTAAATTCTGTATGTATCAATATTTTTTTTTTTTTATTAGGTTAAGTTTATTTCAAGTAGTTTTAGTTTTAGCTAACGATAATAGCCCTGGTTGTAACATACAGTACATTGTTATTCTAAAAAAAAAGTGTAGAAAGAATTTTCATTTAGAAATTTCTTGTAAATTTCGCAAAGAAACAGCAAGCAACACATTGAATTAAACATGAAATTTTGCAAGTAGAAAGATTGAATTAGCATTCTCTTGTAAAACATATTCTTTGTTTTATTTACAAATTCAAAAAAAATCATGGTTTACAATGTAATATTTACACTTCCAGAGCAACTTACAGTACTTTTTAATATTGATTATTTTATTATTGATCGAGTGCTGTGGAAACATTCTCTAAATCATGAATCTTCCAGTTGGGATTTGAACCTGTAACCTTTGGATTATCCGCCCAGCTGCTCGCCTCATGAGCAGCCACCACCCAGCATTCTTGTAATCTGTTAGACATGTTTTGTTAGGGTTCAGTTTTTGAAGTCCCCGCTTATGTCCCCCAGAGGAGATAACTCATTCCCATGTTGGCGTTCAGCAAGTGTGTTGCTGGAGATTAGGTAAAACCAGAGATAAGAGACTAATTCTGAACTTCCACAGAACAGCAGAAGTGGGAGAAACACATGGAAGTGTTTGCTAAGAGGAAAGAGCATTACTTTGATCACAATTTGTCTTAGTTCTTTGCAGCCCAATCACAAAACCAAGTCAAACGCAAATTAGATGAAGAATGCAATGTGTTGAATGAAAAATATAATCGTAAAATATGTAACTTAAAGAAAATATCTACTTGGAAAATGTATCCAAGTAGAGAAACAGAAGTGCTCAGTAGAAACTAATTAAATGCTCATACAATGTAAAAGAAGAAAATGTTATTGGAAAAAACTACATATGTGACATCAAAGAATGTCTATGAATAATCTATGAATAATAAATTTGGCTTGCTGAGAAAAAAAGATCTGGTAGAA